GCCACACAGCACTGTGGAAAAGACGAACGTGCCTGAGGGTAAGACAAACATTGGCCCATCCCGAGTCCCGACATCACGCTCACTCACAAAATTCCGAAGAGAAGTCGATGGTGCAGTCGAGGACTGTCGAAAGCATCGGAGTAGCCGGAGGCTGGGTGGGGATTCAACAACTTTTGACAGGAGGTGTCGAGAAGCATTCTCCGACAACTTGCGGCGAATTTTCTTCCCGTCTCCAATTTCGACACCCTGTGTGGCCAAGAGAAACTACCGAAAATCGAGGTTTCGACAGTGGTGTGGTGAGGCCCATACACACCTATCTCAATATCGATCTCTCTCTCGTTATCCTTGCCCAGTGCCCCCCACATTTCCCAGCCAACAAACGTGTCGAGGGCCAGACCCTGCTAGTGCTACGTTTGTGGTGAGCTGGCACGACCAGGTCATGCTCTCTAAGCAGAGATGCACGACCAGGCCCATGCTCCCTGAGCACAGATGCATAGCCCCGCCGTTGCATATCAATGCACAGGCTCTGTTAGGAGCAAGCCTCACTGGTGCTATGTTCATGCTAAGAAAACAAGAATCTGGCCAATTTTAGGCCTAGGTTCATTCTGAGACAGCAATCACCTGGCCATTTTCAGGACTACCCGGCTCATGCTTTCCAAGCACGAGTATAGCGCCACTGGGGCCTGCTCCTTGGCCTTCGTTCATCCCAGGGCAATTGCCCCCAAGCGATAACACTTGCTCTTTTCTGAAAGAGTCTAATGTCTCAATTCGTTCCAAAGGTGCTGGCTGTTTGTCTAAACGAGAGTTACCCTACAACCTCCCCCTCCCCTCCCCTTCCCTCCGAACCGGTGTCTATATAGCTGAGCGGGAAGTGTCCAACTCATATAACTTAGGGCATGACCCCATTCGTGGCATGTTCATGCTATGAAAGCATGCACCTGACCTTATTTACGAATAGGCTCATGTGTTCCAAGCATAAACATAGCACCAGTGGAGCTTGCCCCTTAGCATGAGGGCTCGTATGAAATTTTGCATGCAGCAACTAGGTGTTCCAGTAACCACCTTTTAAGGCTTTTTTTTTGGTTACAAGTTTTGAAAATTCTCTGAGTTTTCAGACAGCCTCCCTACTTGAGTTCGTTCACATACTTTCTTAATTTCCTTACACACAGCCCTACAGCAGGAGAGGTACCTTGTTCCATACCCTCCCCCCCCCCCCCCCCCCTGCCCCCCCAGCTCTTAGCACAAAGTCAGCAAGCATACAAAGAAGCGTGATATGATAATAATAACCTAATAATAACCGCACTCTCCGTATAAGCCACCAAATCCAACCACTCCCACTCCCACTCCCGTCTCCACGGCTCTTAGCACAGCATATCAACCCCAACATCATTCCCAAACGCGATATCATATAAACGTGTGAACATTTTTGCCGAACACTTTCAGGCAAGTTGTCCATTCACAAGGCCTCTTACACACAGAGGTGCTCTCCTTACCATCCGCATCCGCAGGCAACACAGA